AAGAAGGGGCTCAGGCTCTAATAGTAACAGTGACCTGAGGGCTGGAGAAAGGTCTGACACCCAGGGCTCCTGACTCCCCAAGTGCACTTTGTTCTTTCTTGGGAAAAAAAGTAATGATAATATTTTTGTTAAATTTTATGTAGATCTGCTTTAAAAATCAAATAGTACTGAAAGCTTCATAACTAAAACATCACCCCTCGCCACTCCCCATTTTTGTTGAAATAATGTTTTGTCTCCTGATATTTTTGTTGAAATATCTCATCCATTCTCATCGCTGCTCTCATGCTTTTTTGTCCTCTCTTCACCTTGTGGGTTAATATCTTAAAAAAAAGAAATTCCTTCATTGTCATCATACTGGGGTGGTCTGGGGAGGAAAAGGATATAAACACATGCGATCAATCACTCATACTGAACAGAAGTCCAGTTTCTTGCCACTCTGCTCCTAAAAGATTCTGTATCCCCAGAATCCTCATTTTCCTGAAGTCAACAAGTTGTCCAGAACTCATTTAGCTCACACCGAGCCCAGCAATGTGCTAGGAACTCCCAGCTTGCAAGATTCCTGTCTGGCCTGTGTCTTGCTGCCCTCAGGACTTGACTGAGGTCTGGAAAGAATGATTTACACAGAGGAAACAAAGAGCAGATAACAGCAGTAGCGGTCGGTCTGTCCACTGGGCATTCCATTCGTTTCGGAGAGCTTTCATATCCACTGTCTCATATAATCACAGGATAGGATGTTTGGTGCTGACCATGAAGTCAAAATCAGGCCACTGCTCTGCCCAAACAGGGCAGCATATTTGAAATCAGAACTCTGAACCCTCACATTCAAAGTGGTTGTGGTTTCTTGTTCAGCTCTTTTTGTCTGCAGAGCCAGTGGGAAGCTCCACATGTCAAGGGGAGATGGGAAGGATGCTTTCAAGATTTGCAGTACAGGGGAGGAAGAATGGAGGGAGGGCCCTGGGGGAGGTCACTTCCAAGTGATTTACTGGGCTCTGTTTTTCCTCCCCACCCCCGCTCCTCCCCACCCCCCATAGATCCAGGTTTGGAATACAAAGCTGCTTCTTTAAGAATACTTACCAGTGCTTGGCTTGGTTTGAGGATAAAAAGAGAGTTGGAAACAAATAACTCTGAACACTTTAGTAAAGAATTCTCCTACAGTTCCAAGCCTAGAGTTCTAAGTCTGTGCCATTGCTTGGGTTGGAAAGGAAGATTCATTTATGTATTTCTTTCTGTTGCCAGCCTGCTGCAGCTCCTTGCCATCTGGATGATTCTAGGATTTTGGGCATGTTCTAGGACACAATCCGCAGAGGGTAAGAGGGCAGAGGGAGGGACAGTAAGAGAACATCCACCAATGTGCATTATAGTTTAGGGCCTAAACTGTAGGCGGTGGTTTAGGTAATGTGTTAGACTCATCTCTGGCTCTGATATCTTAAAATACTTGGATGGAGACAGAGATAAACCAGGGCCAAGAGAGGATTTAGTGTTGGGGGGGGGCGCTCCCAGAATGCCTTCCAGAAGGCTAGCAGGAGTCTGAGTTCTTTTGAAAGAACACAGAATTAGAGTGTTGATGTCCCTACCCCTTCTCCAGCAACCCCACCAAGCGCAGTCCAGCCTCACGTTATTTGCTGTCACTGCCTCCAGTAAGACTAAGCTCTCCACTGTGCAGTTGCCACGGCTTCTACTCTGCCAGGAAGAGCGTGGGATTCGGGTTCATGGCTTTATTGTCTATATAGTAGAGTTTAAGGTCTCTGGGTGGTGAGAGAAACCCCTCCCTACCAAATAAGAGCTGACTGGGAGCAGGAGAAGGGAATTCCCTGACTCCCTGTGGCTGTGAATCAGGGCTGCGCACTGAAATGTACATCCCACTGCCTGAAACTCACACTCACAGGTGAGTCAGCAAGGCCCCACCTGAGCATGGATGATGGGAGCATTGCAGGCCCAAGCCACGTTGGAGATGTCTTGATCCCAGAGGGGCTCTTTTGAGAATATAGAACTGATTCCCCCAGAGTTTCAGGAAAGACTCACAAAATGTTCTTATTTCCCAGACCAAGCAGGTGAGGTGTGTCTCAGGAAAAGAAGACTTCAGGGTGCCCTATTGCCCCGGGCTCATCACTTGAAGAGCCAAGAAGTTCCTCCTGATCTCCACCTTAATTCCTCCTGCTCTATTCCCTCTCATTGATTCTTCAGTAGAGTGACATGAGAGTTGGGACTTTGTTTTGTTCACTGCAATGTCAACAGAGCCTAGATCCATGGGTGACTTTTTTGATTTTGTTTTCTTTAGTAGTTAATAACCAGTGCAGCACCACTCAAAATAGACTCTGGCTGGGGTGCTGAGCAGGGTCCAAGTGGAAAGACTCCTGGATTTGGGTTCTATGCTTTGTGGCTAATTTGCTACGTGATCTTAAGCAAATCACTTGACCTCTCTGGTCCTGAGTTTTCTCACCTTAAGAAAGGGGGGATTTGGACTAAGGGTTGCAAACTTGAATGCCCACAGGGTAAATAAAGTAAATGAGTGTGCTCAATAGGGTGGAGCTGTCCTGACTATAACATGCTCCTTCTAAGCGGGCAGCTCTTGTAGGGTGGATCTGCTGGCCAGAGTGTCCAAAGCACTTGACTCTTGAGGAGATGCTGAGAATCTGGATGTTTATGTGAAATCTCCTGATATTTGAAATACTGTGTGAGTAAAAACTGGCTAAGCCAGTTTTATCCCTGAACTAGAGAATCTAGAAGGCCCCTCCCACCTTGAATTTTCTGATTCTAAAATTTGTTCTTCTAAAGAAAATCCTTAAGAAATCACTTTAGTCATGGGAATTTCAGCTAGTGTAAGTATCTGTGTAGGGGATCACACTCATATGCCATTGGAGTGTTGCCCTTCAAATGAGACTCTCCCAGTGGCCTTAACCCCCATCGCCCCCTGCCATATGGAGTTTGCTTTGTCTCAGGGGTCCAGCCCTGGGCCAGATGGAAGATGGTGCTTGTGCAGTGAGCTCATCAGAGGTAAAGAGCGGGCTGCGCTGATGAGCTAGCCCTTCCCCTGAGTGAAGGAAAGAGTGGCCACAGGGCAGCGGTTGAGACATAGGCTGGCTGACTCAGGCCTCAGGGCCTCGCTGCCTTCCCAGGACTTTGCTGGCTACAGCCCAAAGCTAAACTGGGAGTAGGAATCAAGTCTACATAACTATCAATCCGGGGCCCTCCAGTGCGCTTGTATTAGTGTGTAGGGCTGCCTTAATAAAGTACCACAGACTGGGCGGCTTCAACAACAGACATTTTTTGTCTCATTGTTCTGGAGGTTAGAAGTCTAAAATCATGGTGTCATTAGGGTCTGAGGGCTGTGGAGGAGGGATCTATTTCAGGCCTCTCTCCTTGGCTTGTAGATGGCGGTCTGCTCCCTAGGTCTCTTTGTAGCATCTTCTGTCTATGCAGGTCCGTCTCTGTGTCTAAATCTCTTCCTTTTCTAAGGGCACCAGTCATATTGCATCAGGGTCCACCCTAATGACCTCATTTTAACTTGACTACCTCTGTAAAGATCCTGTCTCCAAATAAGGCCACATTCTGAGATACTGGGGGGTTAGGACTTAAGCACACAAATTTTAGTGGGGACACAATTCCCGTAGCACCAGTGCTCCATGGATTCTCACTCACTACAAAACCCAAGTGTCCTGCTTGTATCCCATGTCCCCTGTGATGATGGCTCAGCACTTGAGGAAGGGGGATGTGTCTCATTTACTGGGACACAGCTCCCTGTAAGCATGTCCTCTGCATGAACAGGGAAGGTGGGGAGACTCTTATCAAGCACCTGTTTGGGGACATAGAGGACTTGAATTTCAGGTCATAACAAGGAGTGCCCTCTTATTCTGTGTGGCACTGTCTATATGGCGCTTTTTATCCTTATACCAATAATAATTGCAAGCACATATATGTATTAAGTGCCAAACACCGTTGCAAGCAACTCATATGCAGTAATTTGTTGAATCCCCACAACACCCTGGGGTAGGTACTATTGGTAATTTTATTCTACAGATAAGAAATGGAAGCCCAGAGAGCTTAAGAAACTTTCCCAAGTCTGTAGTAGCTGATGGCTTTGGGGTTTGAAGCCCAAGAATTGGCTCCAGAGGCTATGGTTTTGCTCATTACACGATAGTGATTAGAAAAGACAGGAATTATTATTCTCATTGAATAGATGAGGAAACTGAAACCAAGAAGCTGAGTAAGTTTACGCAGGGTGGCACGGGTAAGAGGCAAGAGTAAAGGCAGAATTCTAGTCCTGGAAGCCATATGGCTTCCCCCAGACAGGACCAAGTGACCTGAGTCCCTTCCTCATAGCCACCTCCACTCACACAGGCCCACCATAGTAGGGCCAACCCAGAACCTCAAAACCCTTTTTTGTGCTTAACAGTCTCCTTCAGGCAGAGTGACTATGGGGCATGAATGAGGGGAGGCACCCTCTTGACTTAGATCTGACCTCCTAGTCGCTTCCAGTTCCCTGGACCACAGCCCCGAGGCCTAAGGGCTGGGCCCCAATCTGGGACTTTTCTTGGCCGGGGTTAGAAGCGTGGGAGTCGGGTGGGGAAGGCAGCGCGGGGCTGGGCGGCCCAGAAACGCAGGGGATCGTATTTCCCGCAAGTCGCCAATCCCGAGCGCCGGGGGGCGTGGCCACTCCCGGGAGGCGTGGCCGGACGGCGGAGAGGGCTGCGGCGTCCCGGGGCGAGGCGCTGACGTGAGCTCGGCGCACCTGGGCCGGGCAGGTAAGGGCCGGTGCGGGACCAGGAGAGGAACCCGCGGTCCCTACTTGCGCAGAGCCAGGCGCCCCTTGGCTAAGCCGTCGAGCAGCGTGGCGGCGACGGGTGAACTCAGCTGCGGACTTGGTTCAGAGGGAGCTCTGCTTCTGGCAGCAGGGTTGAGGACAGGTGGGGACGCCAGTTTCTGGAGAGCAGCCTGAGGGAGGGAAGACACGCCCGCGGGTGGGGAAGGGTCCGCCCTAGTGTTTGTGGGGGTGGGGGAGCTTGCTTGGGGACATCTGTTTGGGAATACCCACTGGGGCTGGGTGCTTGTCGCCCTCCTCCAGGTGGCTTTGGGGCGGTCCCGGTTCTGTAGCGCTAAGCCCCTCCCGACCCCATACTTACGACTGCTCCCTTTCCCCTGCCGAAATGGAGGGCGCTGCTCTTTGCTCCCACCGACCCGATTGAGCCAAGGCACCGCTCCTCCTTTATTCAGTCTTACCAACTGGCTTGACCGCAGGCCCCTGTGTCCCAGGGAGGGGACTTCCTAGGTCCGCCAGCTCCTGGTCCTGGTGGGTATTTTGGGAAATTGGGGAAGAGGGCGGCAAGGTAGTTTGGCGCTTTGTCGAGTTTGTTTTCCCTCCTTGAGTTTGTTTAGCACAGTCAGGCCCTTCGCCCTGAGCCCGGGAGACACCCGTGGATTTCCAAGGAGCCCAGCTAGGTGTTGGGGAGGGTGGCGGCCGCCGGGGTGTGGCTGCTCTGGGAGTGAGGCCCTCCTTGCCTGAAGGGGCTGGAGGGCAGGTCTAGAGAAATGGGGAAAGTCTCCCAGGCCTAACTGGAAAGGAGGCCTGAGGTGCCACTCTTTACTGGGAGCCTGCTTCGTGGTAAAGGGGTCATCCGTCCCAGCATGCTCTTTTGGTGGATGTCAAGAGTGGAAGCCAGCGAAGGGAGAGGGTGAAGGCTGGTGCTGACCCAGGAGAGTAGTTTAGGGTTAGATACGGGTTTGATGCGTGGTGGCAACACCCAGTACCCCGAAACTGCCCTTCGCCACCCCCCAACTTCCATCCAGCAGGGAGGAAGGGCGTGGGAATTACGGCTAGAGGCCCAGAGTTTACCCTAAGTGGGGCTAAACTCTGAGGAACTTAAGTGATGGCATTTCACTTTCCTTCAGGAGGAAGGGAAAAATACGGGACCGCTACTAAGACCTGTCTGCAAGAAATGGCGAGTGTGTTTGAGTCAGGGCAAAAAATCATTGCCAGCCAAACCTCACTTTGGGGTAGCAGTGCCCCAGGAAACTGGTCTGGGAGGGGCCTGCAGAGGTGGCAGTGGGGTGTTTATGGAGGAACTGCGCCCTGGAATGGCAGTGTGAGAGACGACAGTTAGTGCCCAGAGGAGGTGGAAAGTGTCTCTGCTCTATGCTCAGTGTGGGGGGAGTAGCTGGGTTGGCATCGTTGTCAAAGGATGATTAAATGCATATTAGAAACATAGGCTTTGAGTTTGGTTGTGATGGCAGCTGGAGATGCAAGGCTGAGTTCAACTAGGCTAAGGTGGTTCTGCAGGTGTTTGTGTTTGAGTGGAGAGAATGTTTAGAAGGAGAACTCTGATTTAGGTGTGTTTGAGATAGGGTATAATGCAGCCTTCACCCCAATCACTTTATTGGTCCTCCCTGCTGTTGGGATCTTTGTTGATGTTTTTGGTTTACTTTCTGAGTGTGTGGAAGGATGGTAGGAGGGACATGCAAGGCAGGGTGCGGGGGCAGGATTTAGTAGAGCACATTCTGACTCAGGAGTGTTGGGTTTGGACCCAGATAAAGTGCCTACCTTTTCTGTGCCTCACTTAACCCAGCTGTACAATGAGGATAATAATACCACTTCCAGGTTCATAGTGATGAAATCAGACACAGTAAGTAAAAGTGCCCGTAAGAACTGTGAAGCCTCTGCAGGGAGGAAAGATTGTTGTTACTATCCTTCGTAAGAAATGTCTTATCCTGTGGTTAATAAAGTACTACTTGTAGGATTTTTAAAATTATAAATTGAAATATATCATTGTAGAAAAATGTGAGTCATATATAAAAGTATACAGGAGAAAATAAAAAGCACCTATAATCCCATTACTAGGTAACGATTACAAATATCTTATTGCATTGGTGTCTTTCTTTCCCTTTTTTAGTTCTGTATGTGTACATGTATGCAAGTATGTTGTAAAATGAGGACACTGCTATATACTCAATGTTGTATGCTGCATTCTCCCCCAACTTCATATTTTAAACATTTCCCCAACTCCAGCAAAAATTCTTCAGCCTCTCGTTAATGGCTGCTTGATACTGCAGCCTGTGGATGTGACGTAATGAACCATTCCCCTCTCAGTCATTTTGGTGGCTTTCAATTTTTCCCTCTGCCTGTTTTTAGAGTCGTGGTTACTGGGCGGTGGAAGGGACAGGTTGGCTGACTTTCTGAAGGTGGAGAGGGTTTGCCGTGAGGGAGGAAGGGCACTGAGTGGGGCTCCTTCTATGGGGTTGAGGTGGGGCTACTCAGGTGTAGTCCCATCTTGGGAGAACACTGAGAACTCAGGGCTCTAGATCTTTATCACCGATCTCTATGGGTGGCTGCTTCTCCTTCCCATCACCAGATGCAGCTCCTGGTCTTGGCCTGGTTGCCTTAATTTTTTTCTTGATGGGCTGTGGATCAGCTACAATAAGCCCTTTTCTTCAAGTCTGCAATCAGTCAAGAGGTGCAGGCCCACGCACAGGACTTATCAACAATGCAATAGACATTCTCAAAAGCGCCTTACTAGGTTGACCAGTTTGCTGCCTATTTCCCTATTCTCCTTTTCCTTCCCTTGCCCTGTCATCCTTCTGGTAGGGCTAGGACTGGGGAAAGGGTAGAACTTGCCCTTGAGGGAATATGCGTTCCCTCCTTAAAGGGTGTAAATGTACTCCATGCTTTGATGGCTTCCCATGCTGCCCTCCAAAATGCCCGAGCCAAAGGCCAAGAACATGGGGGCACTTGAGCACTGCGTGCCAACCTCACCTGCCCAGTGCGAGCTGCGCTCCCAGGGGGAAGGTTTCAGTTGCAGGACTTGGTAATTGGGTCAGAAAGCTCAGGCGAGAGCAGGTCTTGCCTTGCTCTTAAAGTGCCAGAGGCTGAGTTGGGTTTGCTGGGAGTCTGGCTAGGGAGAGAAGTGGTGTCAGGGGCCACCACCCCCCCACCCCCACTGCAGCTCAGCTCTTCTAAATGGAAGCCTTCAGCTGACTCAGTGGCTTTGGCTTTAGAACCGTGATCCAGGTAGGGAACTTTCTGAGTGTGAAAGTGACTTATTTATTTTCCTTCCTCCCTCCTCAGGCCATTGTGGGGCTTGAGCAGTTCCAATGTGGATTTCCTCAGGGAGGAACATCTGGTAAAAACATCGAGCTTCAGGGTTTAGTAACTAACACGGTGCTTGGCACACGGTGGCTGATGAACAAATATTTGTTGAGTGAGTGTCATTTTTTCCAGGCGTCCCTTTCTAGTCTTAAGTAAAAACAAAATAAGAACACCAAAAAATCCAAACTCAGTGTCTCAGGCAAAACAATTCCCCAGTGACTGGTTTTTCCTCCAGGCACCCAGTCTGGGCAGGTCTTTGTTTTCTGCCGTGAGTGCTGGCTGTCGAATGTTATCTGCTATGCCCATGTATTTTTATGAGAATCAATTGCAGACTTTACCCAGGCTGGCTCCTGCAACCAATCGGTGCACTGCATTCTCCGTGGGGAGATAAACAGACCCAGGTGAGGAGGGAGTTCATCTCATGACTGTTTTTAGTACTCTAAGGTTAGGAATTGTGATATTAGATTGTTTTAGGGCTTCTCAGCTTTACCAGATTCAGTTGTGGGGAAGTGTGCCTAAGCCTTCTCCTGGATTCTTCTAGATTGTCCTGTGGATAACCAGCTGAGATCCCTTTTTCTCGGTACAGATTCTTTGGGTGGCCGACAGAAAGGGAAGCTGACTCGAGACCCGGCTCCTCAGATCTCCGTGGACACACTGCCTGCTCTTCCCTGTAAGTGAGGACTTTGGAATGAAGGACCCACCCCTCACCTACTTCTCTGTCACCACGATGGCGTTCTTTCTTACTGAAACATTCCCATTCACCTTTACTTGTCTCGTTTAGAGGGAGAGCTTGCTTCAGCTCCTTGCCCATGTACGTGCTGTTTCTATAACTTTTTTCTTCCCTCTCCTGAGTTGAGATTGGAAAGAACAATTTCCCTTCTCTTCCAAAACCCTTGGTACTTCAGGAAGGACCGTGTTCCAGCGGGGATGACATCACCTTTTTATTTTTCTGCTTCAGGATTTAAATAGAAGAAATGTGATCTACTGGCATGATAAGTCTGATTTGGCTAGAGCATGAAGTATAAATGGCTTTGGAATAAGAATCAAAAGAACCTTTTAACCTCTTTTCTTTTCTTTCCCACCTGGCACAGTTTATTCCCATATTTAGTTTCTTTGCAGTAATCTAGTGAAACTGTAGCTCTGTCATCCGGGAACGGTGGCTGGGAAGAGTTCCCAGTGGCTGGCCTAATTCTCCTGCTCTTCCCCTACCAGATCATGGCCCTGCACCCCCGCAGAGTCCGGCTGAAGCCCTGGCTGGTGGCCCAGGTGGATAGTGGCTTGTACCCTGGGCTCATCTGGCTACACAGGGACTCCAAACGCTTCCAGATTCCCTGGAAACATGCCACCCGGCATAGCCCCCAACAAGAGGAGGAAAATACCATTTTTAAGGTAAAGGAACTTCTTCCACCATCCGACTTAAATTTTTTTTCCCCAATGCTCTCAGATCTTTCTGGGTTGGTTTGTTTTGTTTCCATTTTGGCATGAGGATTTTTACTAGATCTAAACCTCTGATGAAACAGAATGCTCGTGATGGGGGTGCCCAAACTTCACAGGTGTCGTACTTCCTCTTGTTGGGGCATGTCTACAATGGTTGAAGCGCTTTAGTCTTTCCCACTGGTTGAAGGTACTCAACTCTGGTCCCAAAGGATATGAGATGGGATTGGTTGATCTCCTATATATGACTGTAGTGATGTGGTTGTTCCAGAATCTACCAAGCGTCAGTAGTTGCTGCCTCCTCTTCATTCACTCAGGGATCTTGCTACGAAGAGAAGTGCTGGGCCTGGGAACAACATCCATACCAGGACGGAACTGTTGGGTGTCAGCAGACTCCTACCACATGGCCTGTGGGATGGGCACAGAGGGCCAGGGCCCTCAGCAAGTTTTCCTTTTGATATTAAAGGATTTTGCACCTATCCATAGCCTCTGCTTAAAAATTAAAAGGCTGGGTATGGTGGCTCACACCTGTAATCCTAGCACTTTTGAAGGCTGAGGTGGGAGGATCACTTGAGACCAGGAGTTTGAGACTAACCCGGGCAACATGACAAGATCCCATTTCTACATAAAAATGGAGAAATTAGCTGGGCATGGTGGCATACGCCTGTGGTCCCAGCTACTCAGGAGGCTGGGGCAGGAGGACCACTTGAGCCCAGGAGTTTGAGGTTGCAGTGAACCATGATGACACCACTGCATTCTAGCTTGGGCAACAAAGTGAGACCCTGTCTCAAAAAAAAAAATTATAAATTTTTATTTTATAAATGTTTTCTTAAAAATGCCTCTGATATGATGATTTTATTTAACTGAAAACTAGATTTAACACATTAACTGCCACATGAGTTGTTTAACTCACTAGTTTTGAGCCTGGGGCCTCATGAAGCATATGTAACTCACTGGTCATGGGAGCTACATGAACTATTTTTCGAGTTGCATATAACCCATGTACAGAAAACATAACAAATTTTTCATTAGAAAGGATCATTTGCAAAGTTTTTATTCTGTTTTTGTAATAAAGCACCATGGCCCCAAGAAAAAAAATTTTTTTTTGTAGTGTGGCAGTCAATGGATTAATCACATAGCATTTTACAAACTTTAAGTGAAACCAAAGCTTGACTTAAGAAAGAAGTAGGTGGACAGGGCCATGCGTGGTGGCTCATGCCTGTAAACCTAGAATTCTGGGAGGCCGAGGCAGGAGGCTGGCTCAAGATCGGGAGTTCGAAACCAGCCTGAGCAAGATCGAGACCCTGTCTCTATTAAAAATAGAAAGAAATTAATTGGCCAACAACAACAACAACAACAAATATATATAAAATTAGCCGGGCATGGTGGCGCATGCCTGTAGTCCCAGCTACTCGGGAGGCTGAGGCAGAAGGATTGCTTGAGCCCAGGAGTTTGAGGTTGCTGTGAGCTAGGCTGATGCCATGGCACTTTAGCCCGGGCAACAGAGTGAGACTCTGTCTCAAAAAAAGAAAAAAAAAAAAAAGAAGTAGGTGGACAGGCTGGTTGTGGGAAGGGATTTCACGTGGTTTGTGACTTTGTAGGCTGTGTCTCTGCTCCAGATCAACTTCTCTCTGACCGCCACTTCCATCTCACGAGTAGCTTTAGTTTGTGCTCCCTCAAGACACAAAGCAAACCTTCCCTTTTCTTCTCTGAGTATAAGCTGGAAGTCAGAAATGAAATTTGGTCGCTACTGTGAACCTCTCAACATTCATACCCCAGTTTCTTGCTGAGATTGGATCAGGAAAAGGCAGAAAACGTGGCCTCAGGACTCAAAGGAAAGATATCCTAGAGATGTTTACCGTCCGACTCTGTCTTGTCTCCAGGCAGGGAGAAAATTGGCCTGAGGGCACTTAGAAAGTAAATTGAGCACTGTTAACTTAGATTTTATTTATTTATTTATTTTATTTTTTTTTTGAGGCAGAGTCTCGCTTTGTTGCCCAGGCTAGAGTGAGTGCCGTGGTGTCAGCCTAGCTCACAGCAACCTCCAACTCCTGGGCTCAAGCAATCCTCCTGCCTCAGCCTCCCGAGTAGCTGGGACTACAGGCATGTGCCACCGTGCCCGGCTAATTTTTTCTCTCTTAGTTGGCCAATTAATTTCTTTCTATTTATAGTAGAGACGGGGGTCTCGCTCTTGCTCAGGCTGGTTTCGAACTCCTGACCTCGAGCAATCTGCCCGCCTTGGCCTCCCAGAGTGCTAGGATTACAGGCATGAGCCACCGTGCCCGGCCCATTAACTTAGATTTTAAATAACGATATAAAAATGATAAGGAAAGCCGGCACCACTTATTGGAGTTAGTATTGAGAAAGGGAATGGGACGTGCCCTGGCCCAGTTGTCCTCTCCGTGGCCTTGGTCTGACACGGGATTTGTTGTGGAAGCATCTGGCAGTGGCTGGCCATGGGGAAGAGGCTGGTTCCTGGAAGCCCCACTCATGAGGAAGATCTGTGTGCTTGGGGCTGGAGGAAAGGGTGGCTGAGGGGAGGCAGTGTTACCTCATTTATACCTGTGTATCTGTTTGCAGAGTGTGGAGGCAGGGTCTGGAAAGTCAGGGGAGGAATGAGGATCCCAAGCTCTGATGGCCTTTAGTAGAATATGCAGTAGGACATGCAGGTGGGACACTAGCATTAAATGGGTGTCTCTGTCCATGACCTCATTCAGTTCTCACGACAACCCTGTGAGGGAGGCATTACCCTCACACTGTAGATGCAGAAGCCAAGCCTCAGAGCGGCTGAGTAACTTGCCAAAACCATACAGCCAGTAAGTGGTGGAGCCAGGATTTGAACCCATGTCTGTTTCCACTCCCCTGTCCCCCAATCATACTGCCCCTTCCAATCAGGAATTGGAAGACCTGGCCTCAAATCCTACTGCCATCAACTGCATGTGTGGTCTTGGGCTCGTCATGTCGCCTCTCTGGGCTTCAGTTTCCCCTTCAGTGAAATGAGGATGAAACCAGTCTTGCCTGCCTCACAGGATCATTGTGGGAATCGAGCAAAATAAAATATGGGGAGGGATTTGCAAAGCACCCTAAAAAACGCAGGAATTATTTCCAGTTTAGGAAGAGAAATAAGGACCTGCACAGTGATCAGAATCTCTCGGAGGTGAGACTTAGAATAGGTTTGAACAAGTAATGTTTATACATCACAGCGAATGCCATATGGTACCTCTTAGGCTCTCTTTTCTTGATTCTAAAGTTCCAGTCTTAAAGGGTAGGACGCTCTGCTGCATCAGCCTTGGGTCCTCAGCACCATACAATGGGGTCCCGGGGGATGGACGGATGTGTGGTGAGCAGGAGGGCTGGGGCCCTGGTTCTGGGTTACTCTGGCTGCTCTCCATGGAGGGGCAGGGCTTTAGGGAGCTACAGAAATTTGCAGACTTCTGCCAAAATCTGCACAGCCTGAGTCAGCTGGGGTGGGGGCAGAGTGAGTGTGGGCACAGAGGAGCAAACAAATGGAAGGGAAAATGTGTGGGGAGGCAGCAGCCAGGTACCACCAGGTAACTTGTCCCGGATACTAGGGACCAGTGAAGTTGAAATCCTATAGGGGTGGGGTGGAATGGAGCAGCAGTTAGGCCCCCTAGAGCCTGCCAAGCCACCTGGGGCAGCACAACTTTGTCGGACTTCTTCATAGCACAAAACAAATGCAAGAACCCCAATCTGTGAAGGTGGTAGGAGGAAATGAGTCTGAATCGGATTAGCTCTTGGAAGAAACTTCCTCCTGATTGTGAGGCTCTGCCAGGGGCTGAGTGAAGGAGATCAGAGGATGGGGCAGAACAATTCAATTTCAGTGTCAGGAAGAAGTCTGTGTTCAGAATCAGGCGGGGAGTTGTGTTTGGACAAGTGATGTGCCCTGTCAGCTTGAAACAGTGGGTGTATGCTTCTCGTCTGGAGTTCTCTACTCATGATATCTCTTTTTTCTGCATCAGAACATGTTATCTTCCTGGGCTTAGAGATCAGGGAATATGTTAGCCATGGGGGAGAAGGATATCTTGGGAGCAGAAACACAAATGCAAACGAGACCTGAAAGCAGGGCCGGGTTTCTACTCCCTGCTCTGTTCCTGAGGACCTTGGTCTATGGCATGAGCAGCTGAGGTTTCTCTTTGCCTCACTGGGGAGGCTACTGTGTTCCCCTTGTCTGGGGAAAGTGCTATGCGTTCCCGTATTTGAATACCAGAGAGCAGAAGTCGAAGTGGTTTTAGTCCATGCTGCCAGCCACTAGTTTTGCTGACAGCATGGGCGAGATGTTCCTAATGAAGTAGGAGTTTGAGGGGATTGGGAAAGGTAGTGGGTGTGAGTTTATTAGCATTTGCGGCCCTCAGGCAGTGAGGCAAGCTGAACCCCCATGAGTGTGCTTCCTGTTCCAAAGGCTCTTCATTTCTGCAGTTCTTTATTTATGCATCAGATGGAGTTCTGGAGGGGACCAGTGAGGCCACCCCCTTTGTTGTTGTACCTTTTGTTGTGGAAGCAGTTCATATCAAAAAGGGATAAGCTAAAAAAAAAAAAAAAAAAAAAAAGTTAACCTGAAATCCTGCTATCCAGAGTTACTGTTAGCATTTTGGTGCCTGTTTTCCCCAGACTTTACTTTGAACCTTTCATTCTAGAGCAGTGTCATCTTGACAGGTACTGGTACCAACGCTTGAGATAAGGCTCTTCCTTTCAATAGATTGTGTTTGCACATGGCTTAACTTCCCCTGGGCCCTGCCTTGTCTGGTCCTAAGGGCAGTGTTTCCTGCTGCAGTCTCTGGAAATTGGGGTTGGGTGGTGGGGCAGTCACGCAAGGGTGTGTGTGTGTGCATGTGTTTGTATGTGTATGAGAAGGGGTGGGCACGCACACTTTGTAGTGTTTCTGGGCAACAGGAGGCACTCACTGCAGTTTCCTGTTCCCCAGGCCTGGGCTGTAGAGACGGGGAAGTACCAGGAAGGGGTAGATGACCCTGATCCAGCTAAATGGAAGGCCCAGCTCCGCTGTGCTCTCAACAAGAGCAGAGAATTCAACCTGATGTATGATGGCACTAAGGAGGTGCCCATGAACCCAGTGAAGATATATCAAGTCTGTGACATCCCCCAGCCCCAGGGCTCAATCATTAACCCAGGTGAGGCCCCAGGTGTCTGGGAGAAGGTGGGCAGTGCACCATGTTCTGGGCTGGAATCTTAAAGAGATAGTCAACTGCAAAGCAGCTTGGTTTACAAAGTTCAAGATTGGGAAAGCAAGACAGTCTTTCCCTAGGAAGGACCCAGAGAACAAAAGATAGAAGCACAGCAGAATCTCCTTGCTCTTTTAGTGAATGGTTGTTAGCCTGATTGCTTAAAGCATTAGAAAGTAGAGGAACTATAGAGTTCTCCTGTAAAAATAGCCTCTCTTGGGACTTGAGAGGCCAGGTAATTGTGAAGGAGGAGGAGGAGGAATTAAATCGTAGAAGGTTTGAGGTCTAAACCTGGCTCTTATCACTTTTCTATTTGTGGGACTTGAATCAAGTCATTTGACCTCTTGAGCCTCAGTTTCTTCAGCTCTAAAATGTGGGATCTCATCTTTCCTGCCTACTTCAAAGACTACTGTGAGAATCAAGTGGCATGACATATAAGAGCTATTAAGTGCTTTATAGATGTTGGGTGAGTGGTCATTTAATTTGAAGGATACTTTGACTAAGGGAATACCGCCTGATCCTTTTATTTTTTCCATGCTTAGCAAGTACTGACTAAGAGCCAGATAATTTAGACTTGTATTCCAGCAAATCCAGTGAGGCCCTGCCATGAGGGAGGGGTCTGTTCCTCATATTAAGCATACAAGGATGTGAAATTGGTGTCCCTGAGTCCTTAAAAGGGATGCTAGTATGTAGCATCGAAGCTAACGTGTACGTAAAATGTAAGAGATTTCTAGGAGAAGGAGGGTCTGCAACTCCTATATAGGGGAAGGGAAGAGAGCTTGCATTAAGGCTCTGTCAGAAGAGTTGGAACTAGGTGTTGATAATCCCTTGAGTCCCACTCATTTTAGCTAGGACATTGAAGGTGCTTACTGACCCCGAGGAGCCTTTGTGCTAGCAGTCCCTAGCTTGGGTGGCGGGTCAGCTGCAGGGATGGCAGCGCAACCTGAACTGCTCACCTGAGAGCTTGTGTCTCCTGGGTAGGATCCACGGGGTCTGCTCCCTGGGATGAGAAGGATAATGATGTGGATGAAGATGATGAGGAAGATGAGCTGGACCAGTCGCAGCACCATGTTCCCATCCAGGACACCTTCCCCTTCCTGAACATTAATGGTGAGTGGGGTGGTGGGTGGCACAGAGGGATAAGGATGACGCAAGGGCTTTGACCTTGGAATTGCCCTCCTTGACCGCCACTGCCCTGGGGGCAGGACCAGGCCCCACTGGCAGGCTGGCGGTCTGTTAGCAAGCAGCAGTCATCGGTGAGGGAACCCTGCCAGCCCAGCTGTCCCAGTACAGTGGGGTGGGTTCTAGGCATAGAGAGCATCTTCTGAATCGTTTGTGTGATCACTCAAATAAGAAATCTAAATTCATTCTCAGTCCCACGTACAAATATATCAGTGGTTATAAATGTTGCCAATTTCCTTCAGGCCAAGTGCAGAAGTCATTTTTATGAACCGTAGGCAAACGCTTCCAGTATTTCCCTCGGTATAAATTCTGTGTTACTTCCTTCACGGGGATCGCTCTGCTAGGCTGCGCTACAGGAAACTTGTGGTTTCTATAGCTACTAACACTAGGCTAGATAAAGCCTATCAGATTTATCTAGTTGTCTATCTGCAAGATACTTTTCTTTTATGGACTTTTGAATTCAGCTTCCCAGGAAAAATGAGTTGAGAGGTTGGGGGCCCACTGTGTGACAGAGCAGGTACCGCATCTTCCACTGCACTACCCGGGGGGTGCTCAAACACAAGTTGAATTGCTCTTCTGCAGAATTTTACTTCCTCTGTTCACTGCAATGTACATCCTGTAGTGATTTGCATCCAGTTGAGTAGCTTTTTACAGACTTTTTAGTACCTTCAAGCTGCTATGGGTTGAAATGAGATAATTTGTGCCACCTATAAAATTCAGCATATCTAGATGATTTCTTTAGGATTTTGGAGTGCTTTAGGTGCTGCCCCCACCTTTGAGAATCAGGAAATAATTCTTATTGTCTGTCCACTGGCCTTCCATCACTTATCCTGACATGTATATCTTTATAACTAAGTGATGGGTCACGAGAAATTTCATAGAGATCTTTCAGGTGAATATTGCCATGTGCTACATTTAAAATTTAAATGAGAAATTCAAAGAGTTGGATATCTAGACATGTGTGATCCTTTCCCGAATCCCTGGCTGACTCATTCTGTTATTCTCACCCCTTAAAAGAATGCAGACTATTTCCAGGATCCTGATTTCCTATTTTCGTTCATATTTTATTAAAGCTAATGTTGTGTGTCCTTATATTTTGGGCTGCCCTGGATCGTTTTTAGAAAGTTATGGAATAAATATTAAAAACTAAAAAGTAAAATGGGAGCACAGATTTAATCAGACTTGTACACAAAGGGTCAAAGAAACATTAACCTCTGTGATTTCAGAGCTGTTGGGGCAGAGGAAGAAGAATTGTTGAAGAATAGATGCCTAAGAGGTGAGGCTAGGAGCCTTTGGAGCAAGTCAACGTTGACATAAGCAGGGAAATAGGTTTTTCACTCTTTTCTACAGCTTTAATTGGATAATTTTGAATAAATGATACTTTTACATGATTTAAATTCGTAACGGTACAAAAAGGTAATCAGTTCTGAGGTTTTCCTTCCATTATTTCCCTGAACCTTCCAGTTCTTTCCCTGGATGAGACAGTTCTTTTTAGGTTCTTGAGAATGCTTCCAGGCATGTAAAAGTATTTGTTTGTTTTTAATGGAATATATATACATTAACACTTAAAGCTCATCAACTAATTCAGATGAGTTCATTTTGTGGAAGGCAACCAGCTTCTATTTAATTGCTGGGACCAAATTTTACAATAGGGAAATCTCTCTTGTCCCTTCTAATTTAACCCCTAAAGAAAACTCACTGGTCTATATATCAATCTTCAGCAAAGGTTTTTAGAATGATGAGTTTATGGGAAAAATAATATGATTAGAAAGCAGGGGGAACCTTGTTTGTTCCTGTGTTAGCTGTGGGAATCACAGATGGGGCTGGAGGTCACCCTGGGTCATGGCTCAGTGTTTGACTCTTGTCTGCTGACCCTGTTAGTTCTTAGAGCCTCAGACCAGGTGATATACATGCGTGGTGCCCCTGCTTGCTCACCACATCCTTCTGTTCTAGGTTCTCCCATGGCGCCAGCCAGTGTGGGAAACTGCGGTGTGGGTAACTGCAGCCCTGAAGCAGTGTGGCCCAAAACTGAACCTCTGGAGATGGAAGTGCCCCAGGCACCTATACAGCCCTTCTTCAGCTCTCCAGAGCTGTGGATCAGCTCTCTCCCAAGTAAGCGAGCCCTGATCTTTCTTACTGGGTCTTCCGCTCCTATTACGGTCCCTTTCCTATCCCACCTTCTGCCTCCGTTTCTTTGACATGTATAGAATAAACTACCTGGTCTCTGTGTCTGCTTCCTGGCTGGCCGATGAGTCACCAGGAAAGGAATACAGAAACATTGGCTCATACCTACTTGCCCATGGGATGCCCTTATTGGTCACAGCTCTAGTTTACTCACCTCTTAGGAGGGTGGAAGTGCAGGTTTATTAGTCCGGTCAGGAGATTTAGTGGCAAGGCCAGTTGTGGGATAGGGAGGTTAATGGCCATTGATTTGGTTGAGGATGCTCTTGGATTTTGAGGGGCTTTTGGACCCAGAGGAAAAAAAAATGTCTTTCTGACTTTGACACAAATTTATCTCAGTGAAGAACTGATGTCATTGCCTGGGTCTCCCTTTCACACTGCACATGCTAGGGGTGTGAGTGCTAACATTTTGTCCAAGGCTAAGTAGCTTTGATAAGGCCCATTGGGTTCAGTGAAGATTTGCTGAGTGAAAATTAACTTTGCTGTGAACTATGTCCTGTTATGGTGTATTTTTAGAACAGATCCCCGATGTGTGCTCACATGTGTGATTTTTAGAAAAATGGCTTGATATTTCTTCTTGTTCCTCTGGTTTCTTTAAGCAGTGAGCCAAAAACGAGACACAAACCAGATACCTTAGTTTTTTTATCCTCTTCCAGTGCCTACTGATGTGAAGACTCAGTCAGTATGGGGTTACCAGGGCCACTTTGCTTGGTGAAATTGTAGCTCTTAGGGTGTGGTTCTTGAATAAAGATAGTATAGATGGACTTTGAACTGTTTGCTTCCAGGCAGCTTTTTGAGTGAATACTTCAGGGATATGTTGATGTCTCCTTTTATTGCAGGAAGGATAACTATGGCAGTGTCCTTCCTGAATGCTAGTGAAATGTGGCTTGATCTTAATGGACCTGTATGAGTCTTAGGGATGGACAGGCAGAGCAGCTAAGTAGGACTCACCGTCATCTCTAATCTTGCAGTGACTGACCTGGACATCAAGTTTCACTACCGTGGGAAGGAGTATGGGCAGACCATGACCGTGAGCAACCCCCAGGGCTGCCGGCTCTTCTATGGGGATCTGGGTCCCATGCCTGACCAGGAAGAGCTCTTCGGTCCCGTCAGCCTGGAGCAAGTCAAATTCCCGGGTCCGGAGCATATCACCAATGAAAAACAGAAGCTGTTCACCAGCAAGCTGCTTGATGTCATGGACAGGGGACTGATCCTGGAGGTCAGCGGTCACGCCATTTATGCCATCAGGCTGTGCCAGTGCAAGGTGTACTGGTCTGGGCCATGTGCCCCATCGCTTGTTGCCCCCAACCTGATTGAGAGACAAAAGAAGGTCAAGCTGTTTTGTCTGGAAACATTCCTTAGTGGTGAGTGTTTTTTCAGAGGGTCGATGGTGATAGGAATTGCTCCCTGGAAGTACATCTTCTACCATCCCTCTCTTTCCTAGCTTGGCAAAACTCTTAACCAAAATATTTCTTCTTTTGCTGAAATGAAATACATCAGGCAAAAACCAAAAAGATATTTCTTCTGGAGGTCAAGGGAGAAGAGAACCTTGCTTCTGAAAAATGGAGGTGGCCAAGGCAACACAGAAGGGAGTTTTACTCCCAGCTATTTTTAGGTTGGTTGTGGCTTCTTCAGTGGCAGAAGAAGGAGACTGCTTTGTCACTACCCCTCAAATGTCACCAGCTTATCTTTAACTTTGGAAGGTGATCCTGTTCATCATATTCAGCAGAACACATACCCTTTTGGGAAATATATGAGTGGTGAATTCAAACAGATGATTTTAGGGAGAGCACTTGAGATGTAAATTTTACAATGTGGTGTGAATCCCAGGTTGAGACCAACAATGTCCAATAAGAGTCTCTGGAATTTGTGCTGTCACATATATTTGTGCCATCTGATATGGTAGCCACTAGGCACACATGGCTATTGAGCATGTCAGTGTGACTCATGTGACCAAGGAACTGTTTAATGTTTAAAATTAGTAGCCACATGTGGCTAGTGGCTGTTGTATTGAACAGCATAAAAGGTGGCATTTACTGAGAGGATGATATGGAATAACCCAGTATAACAAACTTGCTCTTCTACCTTCTGCAGAGCTCATTGCTCACCAGAAAGGACAGATAGAGAAGCAGCCACCATTTGAGATCTACTTGTGCTTTGGGGAAGAATGGCCAGATGGGAAACCCTTGGAAAGGAAACTCATCTTGGTTCAGGTGAGAAGATGAGGATGTGCCAACAACTCTTCCCTTTTTTGCCAATGCTTTACTCCCTACGTCTGGGCTGAACCTCGGTCGAGTGAGCCTCAGCCTGTGTGGGTCTTAATCCCATCAGATGGGGTGGCAGATTCAGGCTGCATACGGTAGGACCACACTGGGAAAAGGCAAGGTCCTTAAAGTGGGTGTCTGATTTAGCGGAGACCTTATCTTTCATTCTCTTACTGACATTAGAGTCTTGCTGAAACCTCAAAGGATAAGACCCTTTCCAGCGTTTCTCAGAAAAACCTTTTGAGTTGCCTTTAAATATATAAGCTTATTCTAGGAGGTGGCAGCAAAGCCACATAGGCTTGGCCCCCAGAACTGCACAACGAGGCAGGCAACAGATGACATTTGGTTAAAGTCTTACTAAGCAAGCATGGGGCGTGATGCCACATCTAGGTTGTTTACCTTCATTTGAACCAACTTCTAGAGTGGGCCTTGGCAGAATGGGCCCGAAAGATGAAGGTGTATCCTGTATTTAGATTTTTTATTGATTGATTGAGACAGGGTCTGATTGCGTTGCCCTGGCTAGAGTGCAGTGGTGTCATCATAGCTCGCTGGACCCTCAAACTCCTGGGCTCAAGCAATCCTCCTGCCTCAGCCTCCCAAGAGTGCTAGCATTACAGGTGTGAGCCACTGCACACACTCTCTGTATTTAGACATTAGAGTGAGGGGCTTCCCCGGGGCCTCACTGATTCTCCCTTCAATCTTGGGTGTATCTTGCTCTTTAAAAATACCTTTTCCTCAGCAGGTACCTGTGTCCTCTGTGTCTTGAACAGGTCATTCCGGTGGTGGCTCGGATGATCTACGAGATGTTTTCTGGTGATTTCACACGATCCTTTGACAGTGGCAGTGTTCGCCTGCAGATCTCCACTCCAGACATAAAAGATAACATTGTTGCTCAGCTGAAGCAGCTGTACCGCATCCTTCAAACCCAGGAAAGCTGGCAGCCCATGCAGCCTGCCCCCAGCATGCAGCTGCCCCCTGCGCTGCCAGCCCAGTAATCAGGAATGCCATCCGCTTCCTTTTCCTTTTTACACTGTTGTACATATGGATATTTTTTATTATTCACATTTAATCAGCTTTTGAATCTCTTTTTTCTCTAACAATGTTATCAGTCTGTGATTCTCCAAATACTCCTAGATTTAATGTTGATTTAATTTATGGAAAAATCACCCTTCAGACTTCCCTCTTCTTTTTTAAACTTCCCAATGGTAGTATGATATAGTAGGAGATTTGGCCTGAGAGTTCGGACACCAGTGTTCGAGCTGCAGCTTTGCTTCCAAATTGACCTTGAACAAGTCTTTTTAACCTCTGGGCTTCAGATTTATCACTTGTAAAATGAAGAGATTGGAATGGTGCCTGAAATTGCGTCCAGCTTTCAAACTCTGACTCGATGACTTTATTCTACTTGTACATGGCAAAACTGCCTGGAACAGAACCCTTCTGCATTGCTCTTGTACCACATTTTTTTTTCTTGCTTTAATTAAAGTTCCCTCAAGCACTGATTTGTCCAGGATGGAGCTCTGTTTGACCTGTTCTGCTAGTATAGTAAGCTTGCTCCCTGATGGGGGAAGTGAGGAGAGGAGCTGGCTGGTTGCTTAGAAACCAAGCTTGATATCTAAATAGAAGTGGGTGCCAAAGTCTGAAAGTCACCCGGCCCATGGAGTAAAAGCTCGTAAATTGGGGTTCTAAAGGAAAGCTGTTGACACAAGAAACCTAGAGATTCTGTAGAAGAATGGGTTGTCAGGTATTTAACTTGTCACCGCTCAAATACATGTGTGTGTGTTGAGGGGTAGATGAAAGTATATGACTTAGGTGGTAGCCTTCAGAGGAAGGAACTCTTTTTATTTTAGTTTTTGAGGAAGACCTGTGAGTAAGTTGGGCATCTAAGATATCTCCTGTGACTACAAAAGGGGCAGTTCCTCCTTGCTTAGAGACTTTTAGAGTTTTCTTGTCTGTTTGGATTTTTCACAGTTGGGAAAAATGGGGTGCTGGGTGTGTTAAGGGCCAGGGTGAAGAAGGGCTGGGCAGCACTCTTCTAGAAAAGGCTTACCTAGCACAAACCTGCTTGTCTCCCTTGCTGGTAGAGGTATCTGGGTGTGAACAATGAAAGTAGAGTGGTATAGAACATTGTAGCTATCTCTTGTCACAAACAGGTTCAACCTAGTAACTTTTGCTTATTCTTTAATCCTTTTGCCTCTTTTTTTAAAAGATGAAATTATGCATAATTTAAACTCCAAGACCTAAATGCCAAGTGAGCTTCCGATCTCTGGTTGCAGGCCCCAGTCCTCCTGAATACTGATACTTGTTTGTGTCAGGACATGGTAAGGAAACCCATGTCTAATCTACCTTTAAACCAAGCCACCTCCCACTTTTCTCAATAACTGAAAAAAGTTGAGCCAGCTTTATTTAAAATAATCATTTCCTTTGTAATTGCTCAGCATCTATGTCCAGCTTGACTACAAACTTGCTAAAGGCAGGGATTGTCTTAGACTTTGCTGCCAGTTCTTAGAACAGTATGTGGTACACAGTGTGTTCTCAAATATTTGTGAATAAATGAACTACATAAGTCTTTCATTTTAGGTATTTATTGTTACCACCATGGGAAAATAAATAAATATGGGGAAAATTAGAAGACTGATTTCCAGTCTCTGCTGCTGACTCCCTCTGAGCTAAGAACCAGTTAGGCTGGTAGCTCTTACAAGCTGGTCCTCCCCCCATGCTGGCTCCATCCTTATTTCAGTTATCTCTTTTCACAGAAGATGCCACTCTCAGAGTCAGGAGTGAAAACTAGAGTGGCTGTCTGCATTTCCCTTCACCCCTATTCTGCTGTACGTGTATAAAATAAATTTGGGCCATTTCCTCAATATTGGGGTTTTCTTAAGGAAACTCTCTCTTTATGGTATGGGTCAAATTACTGATAGTTAAAAATAAATGTGTTAACTCTTAAGTCACACTTTCTTCCTGACCTGATTGAAAAGCCTCTGCATCTTGGTTTCTCATTTGAAATCAGCAAACTGTACTCCTAGAACTTAAGCTCCAGGAAGGGTGGGGTTTTTGTCTCTTTTGCGCACCGCAATGCCTCCATGGCCTAGAAGCAGGCCTGACACGTAACTGCTCACAGTGAATACTCACACCTTCACACCCTGCCTAGAGATGTCTTCTGGTAGCTCTCAGCTTTTCTAATTTAGAATTTAGGGAGGTCAAAGTTAAAAAAAAATTCAAAAAGCTCTGCAGCACCACTCACAGGTGAGGACATCCAGTGCGTTGATTGCCTTGAGGTATGTTTCGTCTAGAAGAAAAAGCACATTTCTGCAGACCGATCAAAGGTGTTTATTAAGCGCTGCATGCCCTGCTCTGGCTTCCCAGCCAAGTGGGACGCCTGACGTCACGCTACCCAGGCCGGGCAAAGTGAGGGCGGCAGCCGGCAACCGGTTTCGCCGGGTCCCGCCTTCTTTCCTCCACTTCCGCCCCTCCTCGCTCTAAGCAGACGGGTGGGGCCGCGCGCGTTCTGTCTGGCCGGAAAAGGCGGGCCGCGGGTGGCCCACGGTTCCGGCACATCGCTGGTCGGCCTCGCCGGCGATCCCAACACAGGGCGGCGAGTGAGCAGGGGGATGACGTCACGGAAGTGAGGGGAGGAGGCGGGCCGAGTGGGTGCGCATGCGCAGCAGGCCGTGTTTGCAGCAGGGCGCGGGGCGCTCGCCGCTTTTCCTGCGGCTGGCAGGAGGCCGGAAGGAGTTCCTGAGCGCGCGGACTTGCGGCGGAAGTGGAAGAAGAACGTGCGTGAGCTAGACCTCTGCTTCATTTACTGAGTCAGTCGGACTCGTGTGCTTAGGTGTGGGTTGGAGGGAGCCCGTTTTTCGAGGGTCTTTGGATGTCAGCCAGAAGGGTAAGGCGGGGCCAGCAGAAGTTAAAATAGGACCCTCCTGCAGTTCTAGCGGATTTCATTTGTTTATTTATTATTATTGTTTTTATTATTTTTTGAGACAGAGTCTGGCTCTGTTGCCCGGGTTAGAGTGCCGTGGCGTCATCCTAGCTCGCATCAACCTCAAACTCCTGGGCTCAAAGGATCCTCCTGCCTCAGCCTCCCCAGTAGCTGGGACTACAGGCATGCGCCACCATGCCCGGCTAATTTTTTCTGTATTTTTAGCTGGCTAATTAATTTCTTTCCATTTTTTTTTTTAGTAGAGATGAGGTCTCACTCTTGCTCAGGCTGGTCTCGAACTCTTGAGCTCAAACTATCCTTTTGCCTCGGCCTCCCAGGGTGTTAGCATTACGGGCGTGAGCCACCGCGCCTGGCCGATTTATTTTTATATCTCAGGGTGAAATGGCTTTTAGTCTACATTCTGGGGTTCGTTAGTTTAATCAGATTGCTGTTCTGAAAATTCTTAGCAGGAAGATGAGGGGAAGTTGGCAGTGGAAAGAATACATTTGGAACCTAGAGTTATGTCCTAGAAGGGCAGTTTTGTGTGAAATGCTTTTTTGAATTTTGCCAAGACTAATCTGAGTCTTCCCTGCCCCAAACTCCTTAAAGTTTGAACCAGATAACGTAATTTGCATAGGTAAAATTTAGAATAGAAACCAGATAAAATATAAATTGGACCATAAGTTCAGAAAACACAAATTTGGGATTCAGGGAGACCAAGTCAACAATAGAAATCAGGTAGCAATGGTGACTCCATCTTGGGTGGGCTGGATCAGCATTTCAAAGCAGAAGAAGGGACAAAATAACCTTGGAAGATGCTGCAACCCTTAATGGGAAGGCTGTTGGCAGGTTTCCTGGTCTGTCACTTGCTGGTGTTAATAATTCCCTGTTACTGCTTTTTTCCTAGGCTCCTGCTCAAGTGTTTGGAGCTGAAAGATGCAACCCAGGGAAGGGCACTGTGGCTAGCTAAGGAAACTATGCTTGATGTTCCTTCTAGATCTCATGTCAACACCAAGCCCTCAGCTGCTGGTGGCAGCTGCTCAGCAGACCTTGGGCATGGGAAAGAGACGAGCTCCACCCCGCGCCGCCTGTCTTCATCTTGCCGCAGAGGTGCTGGCTGTGGCCGGGGGACTGAAGCCAGCTCTGCTCTATGATTGTAACTGTGCGGGGGCATCAGAGCTCCAGAGTTATCTGGAGAAACTGCAGGGACTGGGTTTCCTGACCCTGGGACTTCACATCCTTGAGATTGGAGAAAACAATCTTATTATCAGTCCTGAGCATGTATGTCAGCACTTGGAGCAGGTGCTGCTTGGTACCATAACCTTTGTAAATGTTTCCAGCTCCCAATCTCACCCTTCTATCTGCTCCCTGGACCAGCGTCAGGACTTGAAGACCCTTGTGGCTGAAATCATCACGCATTTGCAGGGGCTGAAGAGGGACCTATCGCTAGCAGTCTCACACAGCAGACTCCATTCCTCAGACTGGAATCTCTGTACTGTATTTGGGATCCTCCTTGGCTATCCTGTCCCTTATACCTTTCACCTGAACCAAGGAGATGACAACTGCTTAGCCCTTACTCCACTACGAGTGTTCACTGTCCGGATCTCATGGCTGCTAGGCCAACCCCCAGTCCTGCTCTATTCCTTTAGTGTCCCAGAGAGCTTGTTCCCAGCTCTGAGGGACATTCTAAACACCTGGGAGAAGAACCTCAGAATCCGATTTAGGACTCAGAATGACTTTCCTGACCTCAGCATCTTCTCTGAGATAGTCACACTGCCAGCTGTGGCCCTCTGACTTTAACTGTCCTCCCATGTAGAAGGTACTCAGTAAATGATCATCTCTAGGTTGGGGATGGTGTATAGGAATCATCTCAGTCGCCAGTTACAAGCATCTTGAGTGGGAGAATGCTGTAATCAATTGGCCACATATGCAAAGGGCATGGGAATAGGTGATGGTGGTGGCGGTGGTAGCATTGGCAGTACGTGTTTGCTCTTTCTATTAGGAAGTCCTCTTAGTGGAGATGTCTTCATTTTTCACTGGATAAGAGGAAAGATATGGTGGGGGAAAAGCAGTATTTGTATGATAGCCTTGTAAATATACCTACCCTATGTGGGTAGTGTGTTCCAGGAAAGTAGAATGGCTGTGGGCTTTTTTGCATGTTTATATAGCCCAACTGAATTTGACTAAGGAGAGTAGACCAGTATGCTTAAGTGATGTGGTACTTGTGATACATCATTCAGAAATAAAACCAAGAGTTCTGAATCTGGTCAGGTGAAGTTTATTTACAGTTGGTTAACAAAATTACAAAAAGTCAGAAATCTCAATTCAGTTGGGGAAAAGCCCAAGCTGTAAACTTCCCAGACCCGAGTTTTTCATTGAGTTGCTTGCATCTCGTTGTCACCCAAGGCAGCTGTCACAAGTTATTCATCAGGTTGTCTTTGTTGGCCAGGAACACTGCCAGTGCTACAGCAATCACCACCATCAGCATCGGGAGCCATCGGCCGCATCGCCTCTGTGCACAGGGTAGGGGAGGCAGAAGAAAGCAGCCATGAGTTGGGTGGAGAAGACAAGGGCAAAAATAATCTTCCTTCTTCCTACTCTAGCAGATTGGAAAACCTTGGGTTGGTGGAGGAGAAACAGCTGTTTACTTCATTGTCTCTCCCACTTTCTGACTCCTCCCTTGGGATAAAATCACTTTACCAATGTCCCTACCCCAGGGAACCATATTAAGCAGGAGCCAGATACTTTAATGCTGATATGAATAATCAAGAGTGGGAAATAACTCAGCAAAATCATATGATTGTTGATGTGCCTCAGTACTTTTTTTTTTTTTTTTTAAGACAGGATCTTGTCTGTCACCCTAGCTAGAGTGCAGTGGCATGATCATAGCTCACTGCAACCTCATACTCCAGGGCTCAAGCCATCCTCCTGGTTCAGCTTCCTGAATAGCTAGGACTACAGGTGTGTACTATTCACCTGGCTCATTTTAAAAATTTTTTGTAGAGACAGGGTCTTGCTCCGTTACGCAGGCTGGTCTTGAACTCTTATCCTCAAGTGATCCTCCTGTGTCAGCCTCCCAAAGTGGTAGGATTATGGGCATGAGCCACCATCCCCAGATTGCCTCAGGACTTCTGATCTCCTCTCTGTTTTTGCCACAATGTTCACCATAGGCTAAAAGAACACCCTTTCATACTTTAGCTAATAGTAAGTTTTTCCCTTCTGGCTCAAGAGTTCCATGAAAGTCGAGGTTGGATGGAAGTGTTTCCTCCCATGGTTGCCACACTGTCAGTTATAGTATAAACCAAGTGGAGTGGGACAGGCTGGCCAGATGTTGGTATGAGCTGATAAAATTTTCTGTGTAAGACTTGCTAAAGAAGGAATTGTGCCACTGTCATCAAGAGGTATATGGCAGGATAGACTCTCTTACTGTGGGAGGCGGTTGCTGGCTCTGGTTCAGCTCTTCTCGACAGTGCTGCAGGTTACGCAGGCAGGAGAGATACTCGTCACTGAGGTTGTCTAACTCTGAATGCAGTTCTCTGCACTGGGGAGAATATAACCAAGGTCATCACCATTACTTCTGTCTAGGACAGAGTCGAGGTAGGGGAGACTACCCTGTGTAAGTTATTCCTTCCTCTATTTGGAATTTTTACCATCCTCCCTTCCCTCGTGTTTCTTAGAGATTTGAGTTTGTCTTTCTACTGTCTCACCTAGTTTATCTGAAATATGTTCATTTAAATGATTATAATGCATGTAATATTGCATTTATACATGTAAGTTCTTTTATGTGACATTGTACCTGCAAGTGCTCTGTAAATGGGGGACACCAAAACATGAAGTTCTTAATAGCACAGGAGACCTAGAGGCGACCTTAGTCCAAGTCTCTTTTTTCAAGAGCTAGTCACATATGAATACTTCCAGGGACATGTATGTTTGTGGGTATGTAGAGAGGAAAGAGTATTATTATTTAAAAGACGATACATAAAGCTTTAAGATGCTCAATATGGGACAATGTTTGAGAAGTTAATATGTTTATTAAAATGTGTTTTAGTTTAGGTTGACTTTCCAAAAGGTAACTAATAAAACCCTGAATAGGAGTTGGTATAAATTAAGGAAGGGAAAAGATTGACAAGTCAGTCCAAAAAGCAGAGACATTTTATACAGGCAAATGAATACCTGCGGGCATTCAATCACAATTTAAACTTTGAAATCCCTGCCGGCTGACTGCCTTCCCAGTTTCCCCTGCCACTCTGCAGATGAGCCCCTCACCATCTGAGTTCACCTTCTCACCTCCTTTTCCTTGGCCTGGAGCTGCAAAGTCTTCTTTTGCAGCTGGTCTCTGAGATCCCAGTCTTTCTCCTTCCCTGTACCCTCAGGCTCCACTTCGTTATTGATGGACTTGGGACTCCACACAGGCAGAGCCTGATCTAAAAAAGCAGATTCTCGGTGAGAGTGAGACCCACCCGTCTGAGGAAGGGCCTTGTCACTGAGTGAGAACCCCTAGGCCTGGGGGGAGAAAATGGGTGGGCCTGCCTTTGGCTTGACTAAATGGAGTGGAATTCTTTGCCATGAACTCCCATTGGGATCCAGCTGGGCCTGGATTGCCACCTGGAATTTCAGCTCTTTGAGGGCAAAGCTGGCATTCTTTTTGCATCTCCCTACTCTTCTCCAATGCTAGATATTTTTGGTGAATATATACTAATTGAATTCTTTGGTTGTATGTCACATCCTTACTAGTTTGTCAGGTAGGTTTGCTGGATGCTTCAATATATGACCCCTTTTCCCTTAATGTCCTCATTTCAAAGTCATAAAAATGGCAGTCATATCTATCTTCATGTGGCTGAAGATGGTTTTTCAGTCACCTTTTAATCTTAGTCTTGGTGAAAAGAGCACTGTATCATCTTAGTTCTGCCCTTAATTTGTGTGACCATAAACCTTCATGTTTTTATCCATACTATGTGGACATAATAATTCTGCCTTATCTATTCTATTATTCCCAGTGATTGTGAAGAGAAAACAAAAAGTCATGTGTAGTGGATAGGAGAGGAGCTATTGCCCCCTTCACATATATGATGAATTCTCTGGAAGCTTGGGCAACAGACCCTATGGCTAAGAGTGAGGTGACTCTTGCATATTATGTGGTTTAGGGCTGGGAGTTGGATATGATTTGGAAAATCAAGTGTGTAAAAATTGACATGAAATCCTGAGTTCAAAATCAATTTATTGAAATGTTCAACACAGACATATGCTTTCAGAGAGAATAGAAATTCTTTTTCACGATTTATATACCTCAGGATAGAAGGTTAACTAGTTGAAGTGTCCTTAGAGCCAATGGTCAGTCCTTAAAAAGTTCCTCTACATCCCTGACTCACAGAACTGGAGGGGACTCCAAGAGATCATATAGTCCATCTCCCTGCCTACAGGCAGGCAAGAAAAGAGCAATATGTTAGAATTTGTGGTAGTAAATTTGCTGACCTTTCTTTGTTAAGAGTTTCCCCTGTTCTTGAAGCTGTATGGATTGATTCTGAAGCAGACCTGTTGGAAAACACAAGGAACATGTCTATGCAAGCATAATTACTAGAAAAAGTCTCTTTTCAGAACTCTGCTTAGAACTTTTAATTATTAAAAATGCTTCTTTCTGCTATGGGTTGAATTTTGTCCCCCAGAATTATATGTTGAAGTCCTAACCCCTACTACCTCAGATTGTGACTTTATTTGGAGATAGGCTCTTTACAGAGGTAGTCAAGTTAAAATGAGGTCATTAAGGTGGGCCCTAGTCCAATATGCCTGGAGTCCTTATAAGAAGGGAAAATTTGGACACAGATATGTTCATGGGAAAGGTGATGTGAAGAGACAGCGAGAGAAGATGGCCATCTAGAAAGCCAAGGAGAGAGGCCTGGAGTAGATCCTTCCATAAAAGCCCTCAGAAGGAACCAACCCTGCTGACACCCAGGTTTTGAACTTCAAGTCTCCAGACTGTGAGACAGTACATTTTTTTTCTTCAGGTCACCCAACGTGTACTACTTTGCTATGAATATACCATCCCTGTCTCCTCCTGTCATGTTTTTATCTTCAAATCTCTGCTTAACTCTTACCTTAGAAGAAAGGCTTTCCCAGATGACTCTATAAAATAGCAACCATTTGCCCCTTAACCTGCTTTACTTTTTTCCATAGCAGTTGTTATGACCTGATGCAGATTTATTTGCTTATGGAAACTCTGCCTTGGACTGTAGGGCTTATTTAGAATGTAAGCTTCATGAGGGAAGGACCTATTGTTTTTGTTGACTACCATACTATCTCAGTGTGTATGTCTAGAGTGCCTGGTACTTAGTAGGGGCTCAGTGAATTTGTACTGAATAAGTGAAAGCCAACAGTAGAGAGGTATCAATTGAGTCATGTTCTTCAGCTTTTCAGAAATTGTCTGCTTTTCTTTTGAGAAGTAGTCCTTTTTCCTTTCTGGGCCCAATCTGTAGTTTGAAGTGGATTGAGGCATGCGTAGTGTGAGCTTACTTTCTAAACCATTCCTAGTGACAAAGGTGTATGTGATATATTCATGTACATAAGTTAGAATACATAAAATAAGAACTGCCCTAGAATATCCAATACTTTTTAAAATCTGCAATTCTAGGGGAATTAAGTGTAAGTGGTTGTCATTGCCATGGAAGGAGAAAAGTAGAAAAAAAAAAAAGGAACAGAGGCTAATATATAACTTGTGAAGAGCTATGTAATGACCTCACCTCACAAGAAGAGATTCTGAAAATGCACAGGGGTAGAGGAGATGCCAGAGACTGGGCCCTTTATCCCTCCTCTGGATGCCTTTTGTGGACCAGAAGCCCCAGGAACACTAAAAATCCACCTGTGCTACTTTGAGAATCTGTGAAGGGAACTTACTCTGTAACTGTTGTACTCTGGTCACCAGGGCGAGTTTTTCCTCCTCTGACCTCTTCAGTTGATCTGAAAACGAAATAGTGTAAACCAAAATAGAAGAACCCAGACTTAATGAACTAACTCCTGTGCGAGGATAAAAAATGAGTAACAGGTGTTGTATTATCTGTGGCCTCTAATGTGTCAAATGGAAGTTGTTCTGTCTTCTACTTGTTCTATTTCTGAAGAGATCAGGCAGAAGCCAAGTACCTTGAATTTTGTGCATCAACAATGCTGGGTTGAATTAAGGATTGTATTTATGCACTACCAGGTCCTCTCTTTCAGCTGACACACAGGCTGTGACTGGAAGACTCTCACTGTGCCTTGTGTTTCCACTGACCTTTCCCTTTCGAATTAGGAATGTGGCCTTGATGGGTGTGACTGACTGGGAGCAGCTATGATGTGGCCCAGAGGGATGGGCTGGAAAAGAGAGCTCAGACAACAAGATACTCTAGTGTAGTGAAATTAATTTTCAATCTTGGATGATTAAAAAACAGCCCTGCCTCTCCCTTAAGGTAAAATGAAATCATAAAGCCAGCCAAGCAAACAAATGAAAGGCCGAAGCCTTTCTCTCCACCCAACTTACTTAGCTCACTCAGCCATGGCTCCCATGCTCCCATGGCCTGAAAGGAGAAGGGTACCTTGTAGGTCCTGGGTGTCTGAGCTGCACAGGTCTCTGTCCCCTTGCAGGCGTTCAATCTTGGCCTGTAGTTCCTGGTGCTCGTTCTCCAAAAGTCGCAGGGCCTGGTTCATCTGTAAGTCCCTGCTGTCTGCTCCCTGGAAGGGGGAGGAGGTGGGGCCGACCCAGAAGGAGGTCAGTGCTGGGGTGGAGGTTGGGGGCAGGTCCCATGGAAGAAGAAAATTATAGAAAATTGTAGAATTTTAGATAGAGAAGGAATGTTAGAGGAATGGGAAAATAGGAAATTTTTTTTGTATTCTTCCACTTGTTCTGCTCTATTCCTCATGTTTATAACAGTGCATTAGGCTTTTGGTATTCATAAGGGACTCATGTCTTGACATGTTAGTGAAGCACCAAATTACTTTGGAATTCCAAGTCATCACTTTATTAGATGTTTTCACTTTTTCTCTGTATTCTAGCACTATCAATTGTTTTTTTGGTAGGGCCATTTTCCACAAAGAATTAAGGTTAAATCCCAAAATCTTCATAAGAGCTGCTTTATAGGTGATGAGATGAAAACAACAAAGGTGGAAATGTGAGTGTGATGCAGAGCGGCCAGCTAGACTCACTCCGGTGATAAGGCTGTTATCACATGCACAATTATGATCTGTGCTGTAGGAAAATTACAAAGGTTAGCTTTTGAAGTGGAGCCTCAAAATTCCAAACTGAGTAAGTAAAATTGATGCAAAATAATAGCTAATGTTTATTGTGTGCTCGTATGTGCTACGTATTATGTTAAGTGCTTTATATGGATTACCTTATAATTGTCACAATGATCCTATGATATAGGTGCTATTGTCCTCATTTTAGACATGAGGAAACTGAGGCTTAGAAGGTTAGTTAACTTTTCCAAGGTAGCAGATTGGAAATGATGGAACCCTTGAGAATACCAAGGGTCTACTGTAGTAATCACTTAAAAAACACATTGGCAGGATGTGTTAGTTAATACTATCCTGTAAATAAATTAGTGACCTTTGTTCTGTGGCAATGATATGGGCAATTCTGAACTGGATGCTCTACTAGGATGGAGTTTGGAGAGTGGGTTATGACATTTGTAGGCTGATGACTATTCCATCCTAGCCCTTTGCATTTGGATGGTGTCATTCCAATGAATGTTTAGTTCATTTGTGTGATCAGTGCAGACATCCTGCTAAACTTGAAATTAGATTTCAGAGCCAAAACAGTGAGTCTTGTACAGAGTGGACAGTGAGTGAGGAACTGAAAGCCAGATGCTTCCAACTGCCTTTGGGGCCCCCAACCTGGGAGCAGCTTCTCTCAATCACCGAACCCCTCCTCCCCATAACATGCCTCCTCTCCCCACCCTTGTGCCTGGTACCTGCAATTTGGACTGAAGCACGTGGAGTTGGCTCTCCAACTCTCTGTGCTGTGTCCCTAGGGTCCTCCAGTCCTCCTTCAGAGCCTCGTACTGGCTCCTCCACTCTTCACACTTCTGCTCCGCTAGGGCCAGGGACCGCTGAGGGAGATCAGAGAGGAGGGAGTTCCAGGGAGTTGTACAACTGGCTTCTCTGCTCCCCCGAGCAGCCCTGGGGTCCCCAGCCCTGTACCTGTGTGCTTTGCAGTTGCTGCTCTGCATTCATTTTCTCCTCCAGCACTTTCTGCAGAGACTCCTTGGCCTTCTGTTCATAGCTATTTTTCTGGTCTTCCATCTCCAATAGCACTTTTTTTATTCCCCAAGGGGAGTATTTCTGTAAATTTCATGCAATTCAACAAATACACATTGAGCATCTGTGTGCCAAACACCGAGGTGAGATACAGAAATGAAAAGAAGTTGGTCCTTGCCCCCAAGGCAGCGATATGAGTAACCGGTGGTGGACCTTTTCTTCCAGGCTGAAGCTAGCAGGGAGAGTCCCGCAGGCAATGTGAGAGGTGGGGTGGCGGGGGAAGGTAATAAGCAGTGCCCTAGGCTTGCTGGGCATTGTACCTTAGGCCTTCCAGAGGCTCTTGAAATCTAGCATGTCCAAACAGAACTCATCTTTCTAAACCTGCCCCTTTCTCCTGGGCTTCCTGTCTCAGTGGCCAGCATTATCACCCATCTGGGCTCCCAAGCCCTAAACCAGGGAGTCAACCTTAGTTTCTCTTTCACTTTCTCCAGGTTCTTTGTTGGTCACTGAGCCTTGTCAGCATCCTCATACCTGTCTCCTCTCTATCTCTACTGCTACTTCTTTAGTTCAGGCTAATAAGATTATTATATAGATTGGTATAACAGTCTCCCTATCTTCAAGCCTTGCCTCCCTTCAAATACTGCAGTTAGAATGTTCTTTCTGAGATGCAAATCTGATCGTGCCACTCCCTGTGTAAATCTTCTGATGGATTTTCAGTGGCCTAGGGATCACATCCAAACTTCTTGGCATAGTTCCTGTTTACAATCCTAGACTTTTCATCCCATGCTACTTCCCCCTAAGCTGCACTGCTTGTCAATTCTGGATTACCCACTGGGCAAGCAGTAGTCCAGATGATGAAAATTTGGGGATCAATATGAAATCATTTGCATTTATCTTTGGAATTGTCTGAGAATTTGGATTTAAATATGAGTGGATCTTGTGTTTTTGGAATTTTCATTAATAACTAGATCCAGGAGTTACTTGATTGAGGAATGTCCCAGTTACTGGACATAACTATGCTGGTCATTGGTTAGCTCTTATCCTCCATTGAAAATGAATAGATTGGCATTCTGGATTATGTGTTGGTCTTTTATGACCTTGGTTGGCATTATTTTGTTCATAAGAGCCTGACAAAACAAGTTATCCTGAAAAAATAAAAGTTGTGGACCAGGAAACCTATAGACTATATAAACTGTGTTCCCCTGCAAGATCCTGTGTGGCCAGGACTGTCTTCTCTCTCTGACTCCAAATGGGAGAAGTCTGCCTGCTCCACTCCATTCTCTTATTTGACATCTCCCCACTTTCAGAGATGCATGCCTTCTCAAATGTGAAGCCGATTTCTCTCCATCTCTTATAATTCAAGATTAGGCCAATCAAAAGATTACTAATGCTGGATAACAATGTTACAGAAGAGTCAGGAGTCACAGTCTTTAACTTTCTTCTAGGGATTGCTAGAAAACTAGAAAAAAGTTGCTCCTGGGATGAAAATCATTTTGCAAGATTTCATGATAACATCTGACTCATCAAAGACTGGAACCTATGAATGTCTGTCTGGGTGGTATGAATCTTTACCAAGGGCCTCTCCCTACAGTTTCAGGTATTCTCAAGGTTCCCCAGAGCTGACAAAAGTGGTCAGTGCTGGGATTCCTTCCCAGGGTGCAAAGAGAAGGATTCTGGGGGACAGAGAGAGAGAGAGAGAGGGAGGAGGAGGATGGAGATAGCCTTATGGTGAATTAGGGTCTAAAGTGAAAATGGCCAAACTAGAACCAGGTAGGTAGGAATGGGTGTGTTAATCTCTATCTGGTGGTATTTCTAGAAAGGAGGACTGAGGTTTAAGCATTCCCCTCATTTAATTCTGGATTCCCGAGCTGGAAGTGTCGTCCAGAATACTTACCTGGCTACAGGCGTACAGCTGATTTTCTAAGGATCTCAGTTTGCCTTTCAATTTGTCTTCATTAAGCTGTCCCTGGAGCAAATGGGATAATGTAATGAGTTTGGGTCAAAAGACATTCGCAAAGAATTTTATTCTATATTCCCACACCACACTGACCAGCACAATGAACTCTCTCAGGAGGTAGACAGGAGCAAAGACGACAAAGGATATTGGGTAGAAGAGGATCTTCTCTTTCTCTGGACTATGACAAGAAGGAACCAGACTGGCCCCCAAAGTCTTTTTACCTTCAAGTTCTCTATCAAATGGCTCAGGGTATTACAGCAGGGGGCCACTGGAAGGAAAGTGTCTCAGCTGTCCTTTTTCTCATTACCTCCCTCCCTGTCTAGGCACTACTACTACACTCCTTCCCTCCTCTCAGTCTTGTCCCTGGACTCTAAAGTATAGGCCAGTAAGGCGAAAGGGGTCTCCCCTCCCAGGGGGAATGTGTATTCCCTTCCTTACTCCCTGTGAGGGGCTGAACTGTGCCCCTTCAAAATTCCTTTGTTGAGGCTGGGTGTGGTGGCTCACGCCTGAAATTCTAGCACTCTGGGAGGCTGAGGCGGGTGGATTGTTTGAGCTCAGGAGTTCAAGACCAGCCTGAGCAACAGTGAGACAACGTCTCTACTAAAAATAGAAAGAAATTAATTGGCCAACTAATATATATAGAAAAAATTAGCCGGGCATGGTGGTGCATGCCTGTAGTCCCAGCTACTTGGGAGGCTGAGGCAGGAGGATCGTTTGAGCCCAGGAGATTGAGGTTGCTGTGAGCTAGGCTGACACCAGGGCACTCTAGCCCGGGCAACAAAATGAGGCTCTGTCTCAAAAAAAAAAAAAAAAAAAATTGTTGAAGTCCTAACCTTGAGTACTTCAGAATGTGACCCTATTTGGAAATAGGGTCTTTAAAGAAATACTTAAATTCAAATGAGGTCATTAGGGCATTCCCTAATCCAATATGACAGGAGTCCTTATAAAAAGAGATCAGGGCACTGGGTAATATCCATGGGAAGACACAGAGAAAATGGCCATCTGCAAACCAAGGAGAGAGACCACAGGAGAAAATCAACCTCGATCACAGACTTTTAGCCTCCAGAACTGTGAGAAAATAAATTTCTGTTGTTGAAGTGCCCTAGTCTGTGGTCCTTTGTTATGGCAGCTCTAGCAGATTAATGTACTCCCCTCCCGGACACACACATGCACACACGCACACATACTAGACTCAAGATGAGATTTAGGAAGGCAATAAATGGAAGGAGACATAGAAAAGCAGGGTGGGGATGGCAGGGGGTGCTAGGGGGCTTTCCAGAAAGTCATATTCTATTCACGCATAAGCCAGGTCTGACTAACAGCACTTTGGACATTCCAAGAAGGGTGCTACAAGGGCGGGAGCGGGAAAAGGTCAGCGTGAAGGGCCAGCCTCTGGTTTCTCGATTTTTCCGGTATTTCAGCTGAGTAGCTAACAACTTCCTTGCTTCTTTGTTCTTCCCTCTGCGTGCAGACTTGTCCCTTTTTCCCAGGTAGGGTTTTCCTTCTTCCAGCCTTGAGTTTTGTTTAAGGAGCATGTCCGTATGGAGTGGGGCGGGGGTGCCACCCATGAGAGGAAGTTTTCCAGAGAAAGGGCCATGAGTCTCTCGCAGGAACTGGTTTTCATATCATTTCTCTGGCTTTTTCCAACCAGGCCCTGTGGGACACTGGTGTGGGGTCTAGAAATTCCACTTCTCTTCAGGCCTGAGGTGCCGCGTGGCCCCTCTCAGTCAGGCGGCTTGGACTTTTCCAACGCTTATCACGTTTCCGGTCTCTAACGGTTTGGTGGCAGAGGAGCGGACTCTTGTTTTGAGGTCTCCCTCAGTGAGTTTCAGGGTGCCCAGGAGGCAGGAAGTGGTATCTCTCAGCTCCTGTTTTGATGTTGTTTGGCTAACTCTTCTAACTGTGGGAGCCAGGGGGCGCCCCCACCCTTTCTGCTTCCTGTGTTGTTACTCAATTGGGCCTTGAAAAAGCAAAAAGCTTGGCCAAAAATAATTTTTAAAAGTGCCTCCTGCTATTAATGTTTTTCCTAATGTCTCATGTGAGAGAGAGCTGAGAGTCAGGGATTTGGCATCTACAATAACCACAGGGCTTTGGGACAGATAAAAGTCATGGACAAAGACTTCCACTGTTTGGGCTCTGAAGTGACTGGTAAAACAGCTGCTTTCCCCGGAGTGGCCTGTTCCTTGTCAGTCCACAGGTCCTGAAACCACTGGCTCCGTACCCACCTCCCCTGATTCAGATTTTACTCCGTGCATTTTCCTTTGCCCAAACTCTCACTACCCAGGATGCAATCAAACCCACCGAGAGTGTAAGGTTTATCTTGCTAGGGCTTGGGAAGAAAACAGGCCCAAGGTATATTCTTACATTTTCCCAGTCTCCTACCCTTTTTGGGTATCTCCTCTCTATTTCGTAGTATGCCATTAATCCAATATTTTGCCTCTTCCAACTGTTTTTGTATTTTAGCCTAGCCCCAGATCCCTTTTCCATTCATGTTGCCATAGAAGACAATTCATGATAGCCCTTCAGCGGGGATGGAGGGCCACCCAAGTGTGGGGCTTGAGCGCAATCTCTTTTCCACAGCTCTGCTTTCCTGGCCTCACCAAGGCAGGCAGGAACGTCGCAGCCAACTTGTTGCAAATGGGGCACATAGTTTCCTGGCCTGAGCCCCATGTCTCCTCACACTGAAGCCCGGTGTGTTACAGTGTGTGGGAAAAAGGACTTTTACAGGCCTAATGCTGACCTTCTAGGCAGTTCTACCCTGGGGAGAAAGGCTCAGAGGGTGCAGTCACACCCAGTGGAAAAGGGAGCAAGGCAGAGGCCATACACACCTGGTGCTGGTCTGAAGGCTTCAGCTCCTGCTTTTGCTTGGTTTTCCCCTGCCTCTGATCTGTTCTCCAGAAACACCACCACCTCACTGCAGAAGCACCAGCCCACAGCTCCTCTCTCTGCTCTAGGCAGGTTGCTTAGGGCTTGCAGCCAATCCCCTGCTGCGCTGTCATCTCAAGATCTCGACTCCACGCTGCAGATCTTAAAACGCAAGTGTTGAGTGCTCGCTTTCTCTACCAGCTGAGCTGCTTCTGCTGTGCAGGTTGGACCCTGCTTGGGCGTCTCAGTAGTGCTCCAGGGCTACTCCTGTCACATCCAGAAGGCCCCGAGTCAGCGTGGAGGTAGACCCTTGGGGTTCTGATTGTTTGGCGTGAGCTTCTCAGCACGTGAAGTTGGAGATTCAAACCATCGAGGTCAAATAGAAAAAATAAAGGTCTCAACCAGTTCTGGCCACACTCTTCCAACTGTTTTTCCCAAATACCACAGACCGGGGCTGTCTTGGCATTGAAGTTGAGGCATTCATGGGAGGTATAGAGAGTTGTCTTGTTTTCGAGGAAGGAAGAACTCTCAACTGAAAAGTTTGAGACTTTTTGTTTTACACACCGGAAGCTGGGGGGTTGGTGGGGAGGAGGAAGAAGAGAAGGGTGAGGATTGGGAGGGGTGAGAAGAAGGGAAGGAGAAAACCACAGCCAGAGGAACTTCTGCTTTTGGGCTGGAGTATGGGGTGAAACTCCCCAGAAATGTCTTTTAATATATCCCCCACCCATCCCGTTCCCTCCAAGCTTGCTGTAATTCCAGCTCTGATTGTGTCTAACCTGGGATATTACAAGAGTCTCCATTTCCCACACTCCCACCTGGAGCCAGGGTCCTCCTTGCTACAGGTCATAGAACCTTGTAAGGCACAGATCTGATCGTTCACTTTCAGTTCAATTCCATAGACAGCGATTGAGCTCCTTCTGAGGATGGGCCAGACATTGTTAAGTGCAGGACTTTAAACCCTCAAAAGGCATAGTTCCATTGCTACTCCGTTTATTGCCTCCAGCAGTGTTGCTCAAACTGCGCAATGTGCATTCTCATGGAGCTCTGATAAAGGTTTTCCTTTAAGAAGGAGTCCATGAATTATTCAAGTTTGAGGTACACTGTTCAACAGAAAAAGTTTAACTCTCACAATTCTAGAGACCTGTCTGAGCCCTTTCTTTGGTACTGCTATGACATGATCCCTTCATCTTTGCCACACTCAGCTGCACCTTTGTCACACCTCGGCCTGTAATCATTCTGATTCCTTTACCTTAAACACCCTATTCCTTTCTGCTCTCCCTTCCCTCCCCCCCTTCATGATTTCTACTTCTGCACTTCTGGTGAATTCCTACGCATCCTTCAAGACCCTGCTAACATGAACTCTTTAGAGCCTTCCCTATTCCCTCTCAGGCAAAATAATCCTCTTTTCCCTGAATCACTTTGCATACACTGCTGCTACATCCTTACTCCATTGTTTTGGAGTTACTATTACACGTCTCTCTCTTCCTGGATGGAGTGTGAACTCCTAAAGAGCAAGCACTCTACTTATTTTTGTCCCTGTAGCACAGGGCCCAGCACAGAGTGGGAACCTATCAAATGTCTGCTCACTACCCAGAATGCAGTCAAACCCACTGAGTTTAAGTTTGAACAACTGAATGAGACGATCTCCATTTAGTGCAGCACCGGAAACCACCTGGCATGCACAGCTGCCTTCCCTAGGCTCCTACCCTGCAGATGGAAATGACTTCCTTAACGATCAGGAGCCCTGACCATAGATTCCAGAATCCAGGTACAATGTCTGACGTGAAGAGGGAGGGCTGAGCTTTAGACAGTCTTTGGTACACCACTGGAAACTTCTCAGTGTTCTTCCCCAGCCTCCCACGACATTTTCTGTTTGGCACAAGCTGTGTTCCAGCAGGGTGAGATGCTGCTGAGGCCTGTGGGGTTGTGCAGTCTATCTTGTCGCACCTGGTGCTTTATGCTTCGGTGGCGTCAAACTGCTTGTGGTTCCCCCGAACAGACTCGTCTAGGGGTTTCCACATGGGGATTCTGAGGAACCCTGGGAATCCCCAAGACTCTTTCAAGGGATCTACAAGGTCCTTTCTTTTCCAACTACACATCTATGTGAGACTGAAGTTTCTCTGTGTGCTTCAACCAAAAAAATG